AAAAAAAAAAAAAAAAAAAAAAAAAATTCTCTCCAAACCTTCTAAGTTCTATCTCTTATAGCACTGGCCATTTTAAATTTCTGGGGAGTACAGACAATTTGAAAGCATGAATTGTGCCTGGATTAGGTCAGGCTTCTGTGACGTTAGGCAAGACATTTCACCTTTCTTAGCTTCAGTTTCTTCGTGTGTATAATGGGGATAATAACCCTAAAGTCTGGCATGTAGGTTAAATAACCAACATAAAATAAGAAGTACAGAGTCTGGTTCATTGATATTACTCAGCAAATGGTAGCTTTTCTGTTGGGATCAAAGAAAAACCCATTCTTCAGCCAATCTGTAATTTCCTCATCTTTGACTATGGGAACTAAAATTCCCAAGAAGCCCTTAAACTAAGGGCACAAGCTGATCAAGTGGGAAATGGTTTTAAAGAGTGGAGAAAGGCTCTATGTCATTGCTTTATCTTTATTAGATGGACTGATGCTTGCCTGGCCTCTTCCTTCCACCTAAGTGATGCTCTAAATTTCAAGGAGAGAATGAGTATTCAACCAGCCAACTTCCCTGGTTCTGGAATGAGGAAAGTCGTAACAAAGATGTGTAGACAGAAAAAAATAGAACTTAATGTTTCATCAGATAAGCTGGAGAACTTGTAAAACTGAAGTAACAGGTTTTGTTGGTCTTTAACTGGAAATACGTAAAAGATTATTTGAATTGTCAAAGAATAAAGGCTATGAAGTTTAGAAGAACTTGGATAAAGTTCACAAGTAAGGGAATTAGGAAAAAAAAAAGCAATTATTGTGTACCATGGACAGTTACTGATGATTTGAGTCCCTCCTTGAACCTATCCTGACCTAGTCCACTCCCTCTGTGTTTCCCCGTGTCCAGATTGGAGACCGTGTCATGGCATTTGTCAACTACAATGCCTGGGCTGAGGTGGTCTGCACGCCCGTGGAGTTTGTCTACAAGATCCCAGAGGATATGAGCTTCTCCGAGGCTGCTGCATTCCCCATGAACTTCGTCACAGCCTACATGATGCTCTTCGAGGTTGCCAACCTCCGGGAAGGGATGTCTGTTCTGGTGCACTCGGCAGGTGGAGGAGTGGTAAGTTGGCTGCTTGTCAGTCACCTTCCTCAAGGTCATAATGGTGGAAGTGGTGGGACGCCCATTTGCCAATGGGACTCTTGTGACATGGCCATTAGCAAGAGTGCTCTGTGGTTCTGGTGGCGTTCAGTGATGGAAGAACTCCTAGAGCTGGTTGCATTAGGGACAGAGTGACCCTCAGAGATGCTACCTGTGGGTCTTAGGAAGAGGGACATGGTGGGCATCAGAGCCCGTTTCTGCCAAGAAGCACTCTCAGTCATATTATTTTGATGAACAGTGTCAGTCCATGAAAGATCCCTCACAAGCCATGTCCTACTCATATTTTAAGTGCCAAAATGGTGGACAGTTAACTTTTCAATAAATTGCAGTGGGCTCGAGATGGTTCCCACATTAATGACATTCTCATTTCTTTGTATTCTGGCCCAGTTTTTCTAGTGGGAATGAGCTAGACAGATATCATACTAACACGCTGGGACTTACACATGGGTGTACTTTGTGTGCTATCTTTCAGATGTGTCTTTGTCAAGGAGGAAAATAATGGAAATCAAAATTTCTGCTCCAGTGTTCAAGAGCAGCAGAATTTTTTTGTGTGGTTTGAATGTGTCTGAGTGCCAGTCATTCTGTGTTTATTTTATTCCTGCCATGGTCTACAGGGTTTAGGTGGAACTCCAGTCATTGTGAGACTAGTTGTTATTACTCACTAATTCAACAAATGCTTACTGATCACATCTCATGATCCAGACCCCATGGTTACAGGGGTCTATAGGGTTGGGTCCTGACATATCTACTAACAGACTGAGAAGTTCTGAGCTGGAGATTCTGTGGTTTGCTGAACTCAGAGATGAACTCTGAAGATTCAGATTATCTCAGAGATATCTTCCCTGGAGGTTTTGCTAACATTGATTTTTAAAAACAATCTTGGCTTTTTACAGCTATTAGGAAACTTACACAGGGCAAAGCATGTTTTTGTTTTTCCTTTCCCAGGAAACAAGTTTGCATCTAAAACCATGACTGCAAAGATATAAAAGTTTAGGGATGCCTTACCTTCAGTCACAGCAGCAAATGTGCTGATGTCTTTCTGACCATGAGTAAAGATACAATAAAAGTTAAACAGCCCTCAAGAAAGAAATGGATTTCGGCCCCAGCAATCTGCTAGCAGCAAGCAAGCCATTTAGAAGGTTGGCATTTATGAGCTTAGCGTGTTCTGCATGCAAAGTGTTAGAGGCTTGTTTTCATATTATCAAAATGAGCCTCAGCTTTTTAACAATGCTGGACTCAGTACTGCCAAGAGTCAACGTTTACACTTTGGCACCAGGGCTGATTCATTTCATCCTTTTCATTGTATTTATTTATGTGTTTTACTGGAACAAAGGGAATGTATCAGGGGCATGTATCTTACATAAAGGAAAAATCTTGGTAAATAACAAAAGTTTTTACTATGCCTTATTCTTAGCTTACAGACACGAACAAGAAATAAGAATTAAAATATAAAACTGATGAGTAACTAGGGAAAGAGACAATGAAGCAAGGAGAATAAGTTGATGCACACAACACAGGGTATGTTGTTCCAAAGCCTTGTTGTAGATGGACAGTTTGGTCACTTGGCTTCCAAATAGCGAGTGAAAATCAGGCAAAATCTATGTGAGCTAGTGTTCATTTGACAGAAACAAAGCCATTGCTATAGAAAACTATACCTAGTGCTAGATTTTGAGTGGAAGAATAGTTCTCATAAGAAATGTATGCTGAAGAGCAATGATCACCCCCAGTAGAACTCTTGTAGTAATATATCTATTTCCATAAAGCTTTTTTATACACCACACTCCCAATGCAATAAGATCAAAGTCAAGTCAGATTTAATGAAAGCAGATATCCTGGGGCCAAAAGGAGGTGGTCTGGCTTCAACTTGAGATAGAGGTCACAGGTACAGTTGAACTGCCTATCTCTCGGGTGGGAGGGGCTCCCTGAGCAGCATTTCTCTCGCCAGCAATGTTTGATAGTGTTCCAGTCACTACTAGAGAAAGGTGTACTTGTGGATTTGTGCGTGGGTAGCTGGGGTGAGGCGTTTTGAGATGAGGTTTTGCTATGTTGCCTAGAATGAGCTCCAGTGATACTCCTGCCTCAGCTGCCTGTAAGGCTGGGATATAGGTGTATTCCACCATGACCATCTGTGAATGCTCATCTCAGCTGGGGTATAGTTGGCAGTGCCCTATGAAAATGGCTTGGTGAGCCTTGATCACCCTACTCTGTGGTGGAAAGACCAGAGAGCTACCACCTCAGTTTGAATTAGATTCTTCTCAAGAAGGTGAATGACTTCTTATGCCAGATAGTCTAGATTATCAACTTGACTAAGATGCTCTTGGAGAGTGCCTGAACCCATAGCTGAATAGGCCATTAGGAGATGATGGGTCTCTTGGAAGGAAATGGCTCATGGGGCATGACCTTGGGAACCATATAGAGTCCCTGGTCCCTTCCTCCTGGGCACTTCCCCTGTTCTCTGCTTTGCGGATGCCATGAGTTGAGCAGCTTTCCTCCGCCATGCTTTTCTGCCATGATGGTCCTGCCTTGGAGTCAGCTAACCATGGAGTGAAACCTCTGAAACCATGGGCTAAAAATCAGCTTCTCTTCCGCTAAGCTGTCTATGTCAGGTACTTGGTCCTAGATACAAAAAGCTGACCAGTACACCCCTGTTTTCATGGTAGGAGAGCCCCATGATGATACGATTGTACCCATTATCTATGAGTAAAACACCCTGGAGAGAAATGGAGGTACTTCCCATGACCGATGAGAAATATGGGAACTACAACCACACATTGTGGTTGCCATGGCAGGCAGGACAACAGCACAACATCTGCCTCCTGCAAGTGTCCACATCAGCATCCCTGGAGCCTGTATTTACCTTACGTGGGGAAAGGAATTTTACAGGTGTGATTGACACAAAGACCCTGAGATGGAGAGATAATTTTGGAGTATCCAGTGGACCCACTGTCATGAGGGTTCTAAAAGGTGGAATAGTGAGGCAGAAGAGCCAAAGAGAGATTTGAAGCTGCCGCAACATTGGTGTTAATAATAAAGGAAGGGGCCGGGAGCCAAAGGGTACAGGTGCCTGTAGCAGAGACAGGAAGTGGATTCTCCCCGGAGCCTTCAGAAGGAACACAACCCTGTCAACACCTTGATTTGCGCCAAGTGAAGCCCATTTTGGATTCAGACATCAAAACTGTGAAATAATAACCCCATGTTTTTCAGTAGTGCTATGTTAGAGTAGCGAATCAGAGTAAAGTAGCTCAGCTTCCTTAAGCTGCCTCCCTCCCTCCCTATTCACTGTGGATCCCCCACAGGAGCCTCCACTGCTCTGTCAAATCTGGAAGGTGTTGTTTTCCTTCCACTTTCACACATCCACACGGCCTGAGATAGTAACACCCGTAATCACATCTTCAGTACCTGGTTGGAAATTGGCTCAGAATCCCCTACAGGGAAAGTAACAAAAGCAGCTACTGAGAGCGGGACTCCTGCCTGGGCCTCCCAGGGCGGTGCTGCTGTCAGTCCCACTTAAGCCCCGTCAGTCTGGAGTGCCTCGACAGAGGTGCTCAGTCTCTGGAGGGTATCAGGACTGTCAGTAGGAGGCTGTCTGGGTCCCCATCCACATTTCATGCTCTACAGCTCCCAGTGTCCTTCTCCTCCATGTTCAAATCGACTGAGCAGCCATCCCTGCAGGCAGTGAGCGTCGGTCCTGCTGGACAGGAGCAGGAGCCGATGGCGAGAGACGTGGGTTGAGCGAATGTCAGGGCCGCACTTTGACCCTGGCTGTGACCCATGTTGGTTGCTCGAGTTGCTCCCCGACCCAGTGCCTTAGCATGAGCCGGGCAGGGCTGGGATATGCCTCTCAGCGCCACCTTCCCCCTCCGGCCACACTGAACTAGCTGCTCCTTCTTCTCGGAACACACCCAGTGCTTGCAACCTTGTGCCCTGCCTGTAGTTTTTTCCTGCCAGGATGCTCTTCTCTCCCGGTTCCAAAGTCACCTCCTCTGAGAAGCCACACTGTACTTCTTTGTCTAGGTGACCTTCACCCTCTTGTGAAAGCCACAGGGGAATCCTTACAGCTGGTCATTTGCATGTGGGCTCAGCTTCAGAGCAGCATCTCCAGGCCAGAGCCAGCATCTACTGAAGGCCTGGTTGTGCAGTGGGAAGAACCTGAACTCAGCCCTTGGCTCCAGCATTTAGTAGCTGGGTCAGGGTGGGCGAGTTAATTTCTGTGAGGTAGAAATGATGCCAATAAGCATGTGCTTATTAAATGAGGAACAAAGGGCTTAGCATCATACCTCACATATCGCCTACGGTGTCTATGTATGGTAAGAAGAGAGGGAGAAAGGGAGAAAGAAGGGAAAGAGAGAGAGGGAGAGAAGGGAGTGATACGGGGCAGGGGGAGAGGGAGGGAAATAGATTCCTCGATATCCACAGTCCTGATCGCAACTTTGAACCCAAAGCAGGGGGTGAATAAACGATTCCATTCCGGCCAAATATTGATGCAGAAGCCAAAACTACTTCCGTATACACATTATACTCCCCGAGACGGTACAGTGAAAGTAGCACATCTGTCATGTTCTTCCCCAAACCCATAACCCAGCGAAATCACAGTAAAACGTCGAACAGGCCCAGCTTGAGGGAAGCTGTATAAATACCTGATCAGTACTCTGCAAACCTGCCAGGGCAATTACAGTCCAAGAAAGACAGAAATGGCCACAGTTCAGAGGAGACAGAGGAGCCATGACAAATAAAGAGCATATGGTACCCGGCATTGGATCCAAGGACTAAAAATGGACTTTAATGGAAAAGCTGATGAGATCCAAATGAAGTCTGTAGTTTAGCTATTAATCCGGTGTTCCTTCCCCAGCTCTGAATGCTCACCATAGCAGGATAGAGCATCACCATTAAGGAATCTGAGTACACGGGCAATATTCTCTCCTCATCCACCCTGTAAAGTTCAGTTATTCCAGGATAGAGAC